TCCTGCTGAGAGCAGTATGGTTGCTTATACCAAAAGCGATTTTAGAGATTATCTTTGATCTAAAAAGGAAATCAGATAGTAAATATAAATGTTCTTATTGCGCTTCTGCCCTCTTAGGAAGCAAAAGTATTGCTTCATCATTGAACAATCCAATCATCTGATTTGTTTCATTTTTCCCTTTATCACCCAAACATGTCTCTCCTTCAAGAGGATTTCTCAGCATCTGTATAGCTGCTTATTTTATTCCAACTGATTCCAATAAGACAGATCAATCCCACCACAGCTCATCAAATCACCAGCATAACTCCAAAGGAGGAGTGCTTCAGAGTGTGCAGACACCAAGATGCTGCTGTTAAGCAAAGCATTATCAATTTAACTTTGCTTCCCGGGGAGGGTTACAATACGAAGTCAGTGCCGGGAGAGGGGGTAATAAAGTGTTGCAGAGCCACAGGACATTCCCAGGACTATAATAAAATCATTTGTTGTTATTTTTTTTCCTGAAAATTAAACCCAGGTGTATGTTTTGCCTAAATTTTAGCATTTCCATGGAGAATTTTCTTTTCCTTACAGCAACCATGGTTGGATAGATCAATCCTCTAAAAAATATAGATATGTCTAGCAAAATTTCTTTATACCTAAGATAGGCATGGCACTAAATGTATAACATTAATACATGAGGGTTCTCTTTTCAGGGTTTTTAAAATCAATGAGCTGAAAACGGAAGTAGCTAATCACTTGGCAATGCTGGAGAAAAAGGTTGAATGTGAGTGTCCCTTTATTCGTATTGCAGTGGGAACTGGTGCTTCACTCAGAAAATACCCCCCCGACACCTCGCTGTCCCTGTTGCACCCTTGCTCTTCACAGCCCCTCCACTTTCTCCACCCGCTCGAAATCTGGCCAAAAGGTCTCAGGAAAGGCCGGGGTGAGGCGTGGGGAAGGTGGGAGCCCTGTGGCAGCACCAACCAGTGGGGCGAAGCCAGAGAGGGATGTCTGATGTTACAGGCACCCATGATGCCTCCCACCCTCCTCTTCAAGGGTCTCTCGAGCCCGCCACTGAGCTTTGGGACTGGGGCCATGTCCTGCTGCTACCATGTCCCCAGAACAGAAGGTCTCTACCTCTAAGGCCCCCAGGCCACCCTCCCCCACGCCCCAGCCACTCACCACCTCCTGTGCACTCAGACATCGTGCTCCCTCCGGGCCCTGAAACGCGTACGTGCAACGTGTGGAGCGCCCATACTGCACGAACGCTGAAGCCTCCGTGCACAGGCAGCATGGCACACATGGAAAAGAGAGGGGACATCTCGCTGCCTGGTGAGGGGACTCCCAGCCTGCAAACACGGGGATTCAGCCCTCCCTGGTCACAGTGCCTGGCAGACAACGAGGCAGCATCCATTTCCTCGCTTGCTCAGTGTGTTACTGGTAACACAGCTGTACCTCAGTTACAACAACTGAGTTAAGTTTATCTGGTCAAAATGCTCCTGTTTGTTGTTGTTGTTGTTGTTGCTGCTGGTTTTTCTCCCCCTCGTAGCGTCTAACTTGTTGTTTCTCAGTATATTGTGCACAACACAGGTCCCAGAAAGTCAGAGAAGGGGTATGAACAAGGCGCTGTCACCCAGCACTCTTGTCACCAAAGGCCACATCCTCGCTGATACGCAGCATTTTAAGTCAGGAGCAGGCAGAGTCTTTCCCTGGCACTACAGCTGCAGAAAGCACTTTTCTCACAAGAGCTGACTGGGGGAAAAAAAAAAGTTTCTGGTTCACAGAAGAAGCTGTTTTCTTGAAATTTCCCTTGACCAGAAGCTACCTTGGCCCTGCAGCTGCTCAGTGAGATTGATGCCTTTGTCAGCAGGGAGAGGAAAAAATGTCCTTACTGAAAGAGAGCTGCAGGGGAACCCCTCGCTGAGGCCTCCCCAGCCGCAGGCTCCCGGCGCGGTGGAAGCCCTTCAGCGACATCCATGGAGGGGGCACCCTGTGGCATGCCTACACCTCAGCACAGACCTCTGCAAGGAGCCTCAGTAGCAAATCCTCCCTGTCTGGTTGGCTGCCTTGTTTCCCAAGGTTCTATTGAGATATTCTTTTATCCAAAAACAAAGAAGAAAAAGAAAATTTATCTCAGTCACTTTGCATTTTCTGCTAGACATCTGACCAACTCCAGTCCCCAGGGCTAAGCATTGTGGCGAGAGCAAGTGAGGCACGCCTTCCTGCGGGTCTTCCCATCCCCTTGGTAGCCCAGGCGGACAACTTTCCCAGCCAGCTAGGCTTAGCTTTTGGCCACTGGCTCCCTGGATGACCTCCTGGGATCCCTGCACACACGTTGCCTTTCAGCACTGGCAGCCCGCAGCAGCGGAAGGAGATAACGAAGACTTGCATTCCGCTGCTGCCAGCGGGGAAGAGGTGTGCTCTCACACCCTCCAGCACTTTATTTCTGGTTTAGGGAAAACAGCCTACCCAGAGCTGCCGTGACATGCAGGTGAACTGAATTCACTGGTCTCCAGACTAAGCTTCTTTCTGTAAGTGGGTCTCACCGCTCACGGAAATAGCAGCAGATGTAGCAATCTGCTCCCATTCTGCCTGAGCGCTCACAATCCTGTCTCCAGCAGCCTCAGCCTGTGGGAAGTGACTCCCTGGGTTTTTTGTCTACAAGTGCACCCATCTGCTCAGAATTGGACTTCCAGAATTCGCAGAAGAGCCAGATCTGCAACATTTTGAAATAATCCCAGGTTTCCATGTTTAAAAAGCAAAACTGTGAGGGAAAGGGAGTGTCCAACCTCCCTATTCAAACTGGGCTCCCAGAGGTTGCTTTAAGAGCCATGTTTCAGTCCTGGATTCAGCCCAAGGATTTCTTTAGACAGCACAGGGTCTTTTCAGAAGGTATTTCTTGCTGCAGAATAATATAATGGGCCCTTAATCAGTGCACATGACAAGGCTATTTATCATTAGCAAGATAAGTGTGAAAAGAATTGTGCTTTTGTTTTGCCTTTTCGCCTACCTCCTTCGGAGATCCCTTTTCCACCACTTTCACATGTGATCTCCAGGATTTCTTCCCCAGAGGCGATATGTGTGTGGGGATAAGTGCTCATGACAGCCCTACATCTGCACCTCACATAAAATGTTCTCAGCTTCCTTCCTGTTACTGTCTAGGGACCACATCGCAGAAATGTGTTTTCAAGGAGCTAGATCTTTTAACCCATTTTTAAATCCCACTTAAAGCTTGTGACTTCCCCTTGGAAAACATGCATGAGTGGGGCAAGCGCTGGGATTGCTTTGTCCTGCAGCCCATACATGAATAAGGAAGCTGGTGAAAACCTTTTACAATTTGTAAGCATCTCACATCTACCTTAAGAAAATAATTATGTAAATTCTCTTCTCCCCTGGAGAGGTTTCCAAAGAAAACTAAAGAGTTGCAATACAAAAAAATGCTCAGGGCTGCCACTTTGCACCACAACTCCTCTCCTCTCTGCAGTTGCCTGCCCCATTGCCCTGGTGGTCTGATGACTCTGCTTTGCTCCCACTGCTTCAGATCGACACGGGCCAGTGTTTAGACAGCTTGGCAAATGGGCTACCCACGAACTCCTCCCAGGCAAATGCACCTGGGTGTTACATAGCAGCATGGAGCCTTCAGGTCAGCGACAGCTGATCATTGGCAGCTGAACAGAGTACCCAGAGAAGTGCAAATAGATATCCAGAATGAAGGACAGTAAGCAGGACAGCATCTTGCCTGTATCATCTCACTGTGATCTCCTAAAGAAATTACTTGTAACAATGCTAAGCAAAAGAACATTTATCTGGAAATGGGATTTTTAAGTGAAAGGTATCTCTGAAACCAAGCGTAAACCAAACACCTTTGTCTTTCTTCTCCTAATATGTAGCACTTTGGACTCAGTTCATACACCTCTTGTTTTCCCCTTTCCCAGTTCCAACAGCAATCTTTGTTGTTACTGGCATAAAGAAAACAAAACTGAGGTCTCTGCTTATCTACAGAGTTGTGCACTTCCAAGGCAGTTTTTTATCACTTACATTCTACCCTCCAGATAAGTGTGGTTTTGACTATTATTTTCGAAGAAAGTGACTGAATACTGATTGTACGATTGCTCGTTCCCTTGAGTTCCCCGAACCACAGCTTGCCCATGCAAACAATGAGTTCAGTAAACAAATGAGCTGTGAAATGATTGCTTATGAATGACATGTACTTAATAAATTGTGCTGTATTATGTCCTTGAGCACGCAGATAGTTCAATGAGAAGGAAAGAAAAGGGAGAATATTCTCGTACTTGTACCACGTTAGGTTCTCACGGCTACATGGAATGAAGTGCGCTGCTGCATAAACAGGCAATCAAACTTTTTGCCTCGTGGCTCTCGTAATTACATGTGGAAGGGAAATATAGGATTTTTTGTGCTGCATGCAGAAATAGCCTTCGATTACAAAATTGATTGGCAGAAAGAAGTGACAGATTTTCAATATCTAAAAAGAATTGAATCAATCATTAGAGTAAAACTTTTCAACATTTCTCTCTCTCCTGCATTCTCACTTTGTTTTTTCTGTAACTAGCAATGCCTCTCAGAGCTCCTTAATGCTCTGCGTGAACTTTCAGATTAAAACCTTTTATCTAAATGGGAATTCTAATCCTACTGGGACATGTTTGCCTAGCTGTGCTTATCATCCCATCGCGAGAGGATTTTTTTGCTCAGGATTTCCTTTGATTCGTGTTCTACAGCAGAGAAGTGAAGGCATCAGAACAGCTGACTGCTGCTAACAATTGTGGAAAAGCTGGGACATTATAGCCATTTTGTGAATTAAAATACTGCAGCTATTATCTAAAATTGGCAACAGAGAAGTCCTACGGGTTTTCAAGATATATTGCTTTGGCAGCACCTGCGTGTGTGAGAACCGGGGCAAACTGTAAGAGCTTGCTGGCTCACTGGATAACCCCACTGTTAAAGCCCTTTGAAATTTTGCACAATTGTGAAACAAGATCCTTTGACTTTTGCCATGGTAACACCCCGGTTGTTTTCCTTTGTTGACAGTGGAAGGCCTGAAAGTAGTGGAGATTGAGAAATGCAAGAGCGACATTAAAAAGATGAGGGAGGAAATGGCAGCAAGAAGCAGCAGGTAAGTTCTGCTTTGGACCTAGCCAAAGAAATAAGCAACTGGTTTCAAACCCTAATGTAATGCTGCTGCAGAATTGAGTTACCTTCTGGGCTTAGAAGTAACAGAACAATGAAACCAATAACCATTAAGGACAGTGGCTTTAATTTAACATTTGAAGGTCTATAGCCATTCATCAGTTAAAATGGCTCGGACCACGGGAATAGAGAAAAAAGTCTTGCAACAGAGAGCTATTTTTCACCATACAGAGTGGGAATACTTCATCCAGATTTACTGGGAAAGAGGGAATGGGAAAAGAACTGCATAGTGTGCTGTTTGGTTGGGAACCAGCTAACACTCGAATCAGCTCCAATATATTCTGGGAAAATACCAAATAAATATGTAGCAGCTCTTCTAATTATGATCTCATGCTATTGTAAAACACTCATTTCAAAATCAACACGAAATTGGGAATTTACTTTCTAATTCAAGGGCTCACTCTGATTGCAAAGCTTGGTTTCGCTGTAATTAAAACAACAGCAGAAAAAATTGCATTTTGTATGGTACGTGGTCTTGGCTGGAAAGTCTGCCCCCTGTGTCGCTGAAATACCCCATTAGGACAAACAAATCATCACTATGAGATTATGAATACTTCTGGGAAGGTCGAGAAGGGGATGTACTGCATTGCTCAAAGTGAGGGTGAAAGGGATTTTTCTCAGCAGATGTAAGCAAGCTACATTGACAGCCTCTCTCCTTTTCTTCATTTGGGGTTAAATTCTCTGACCTTTAATCAAAGCTATTTTCTACTGAAGGCAATGGGAGATTTGCTGAAAGAATTGGGCATTATAATCACTCGCTTTTATAAATTTTGCTATCCAGATATGTCAGGAGGCACTGTGTTAATACATTCCTATTAAGTCTAAGGCTAAATTCTGCTGTCATACTAGCATAAATGCAGAGTAACATTATTAACCTCAGATCTGCTCCAGATTTATGCCAACAGGATGGATTGCAGTTTTCTCTGTTACTTGCATCATTTCTTGCTCAGGTGTATGTAGAAATCTCATTAGAAAAATCAAAGATCAGATTGGCAGCAAAGGCAAAAACATGTGTGCTGATTTGTGCTGGGTGTGATGTGAAAAACGTGTGTGCTTGATCATTTGTCTTTTCCACAATTGTTGAAGGGAGCTGGGAGAGCTGCATTTATGAGCATAGTGACACACAAGCACACAGGGAATTAAACCAAAAAAAAACAACAAAAAAAGAAGTTATGGCAACTTCACATTTGCCCAGTTGCCACCACACACATCAGGAAGTATGAGACTGTCCCAGCAGCAGCCATGACTCATTCCTGTCCCAGATTTTGTCACCTTACGATCTGTATTTTGTAGTATAAACAGCCATCTGTTAACAAGAAAAACAGGAATGGGGAGTGCTACATCTGCACAGTGCAGCCGGCTCCCGCTGAGGTGCAATCTTCACTGAGGGCTTGTGGAGAGGTATGACAGCCACCAAAAGCCAGAGACCAGCATGGAGTGTGATGCTGGGAAGCTGTGTTAGGAATGGGTGCTCAGCAGTAGTGCTGGGCACAGACACCCCAGACAGTTTGCTCTGAGCTCCTTTCGCTGAAACAGGAGCCTGACTTGTTCTGCTCAGCACCACTTTGTGCCGTATCAATGTGGCAACGACTTGTCACAGGTCTTCTTGGTTCCCTTGAGCTGGGTCTTCCTCCTCCCAGCTGCACAGAAGTTGCACGAAATTCTTTGCACGAAATTCTGCCCATGATTAGCTGTACCCTAAGTGCATGCATCTCAAAGCAGCAGCTTGATGTTGGCTAGGTTCGGTGTATAACCAGGGCTGGCTGCAGGTTACCTCTTTTTGCCAAAAGACTTGGTGGACGCCTGTTAAGAGGGACCTCATAGGGTGCTACTGAGGAATGAGCTGTGGTTCCCTACTCCTGAGCGACCCCAGCTCTGCAGGAGCGATGCCACCGCAGCGGTGACTCCAGCCTGGGGTTAACTTCACACCAGAGCAGTTGAGCAAGCTCTCTCCCATTGGCGTGAGATGTGTGGGTGCTCTTAGGGGAACAGAGGCATCCCAGGGCAAGTGGAAATGGCTTTGCTCCTATTTAGACTTGTCATCTCTTGTGCCACACCATTTGCTAGATAATGTGACACAGTTGCAGTTAGGGATCACATCTAAATTTAATTAATATACATAAGTATGTGTGAGTGCATATATTCTTTCAATAATGCTACAGCATAGACACCTGTATTCTTGTATGTTTACATAATTTTAGATTTCCTGTTACATTACCAAATGACAGCGTAAGGATGACCAACTAGGTTTACAAAAGTCACTGCACACAGTGAATTGTGCACCCCTCTTGCAGCCCCACTTGCATCCCCTCAAATTGTTTTTTTTTTGCTAGTCTTTTTGTGCTCATCACTGGCAGATGCTAATAACATTATACTGTCATTTAAAATCATGATCATTTGCAGATACAGTTTTATATTTGTAAAGGTGTGATGCATCCTGGCTCTGGTGTGTTCCCCAGCGTGATAAGATGAAGGCTTCGATGTCTTACTGTATCTGGGAATTAGAGATAGTTGGCTGACCCCCAGCTAACCCTAGCAGCCAGCTCCAATTAAGGCAAGGAATGCCTCAGCATCATTATTTTTTTATCTTACTAATACCTCTCACAGTGGAGTTTTGAGGAAACCACTTTAGAAATGATCAAGACAGCTCTTCACTAACTGAAAATCTCCTTAAGGCAGGAAAAGCAGCTGGTTGAAGCCAGCTGACCACTATGAACTGTAAGATGACATAACTTTTGCAGGATTCGTACAACACCATTAGAAGTGACAGCAGACATCAATGTTAAGAGGAGAAAAGAGATTCAGACCAATTCCCAGAAGAAAAGTAGTAAAAGGAGATGGAATACAGAATATGCAAAATTTTAATTTTAACTGGGACAAAAAAAATTAATTGAATACTTTGATTGGATTCTTTTGGGAGATTTTTTTTTCTTGCTTCATTTGGTAGGGGGCTTGAAGAAATGAGAAAGGATAATACAAATGTTAGGACTACAGGGATAAATGCAAAATGCAAGCAGATCAACCTCACGTGACAGTTAATGAAGTCCACGTGACCGACTACCTGTGAAATACATTTTGAGTTAAAGTATCGTGATTACCATGGGTGATACCACAGACCTCTTAGTTTTATTGTGACCCCCGTGGCTGTAAGGCAAGAAGCTGCTCTCGCATTATAGTGAAGCAACCTAGATGTTCTGCAAAGACTGTAAGGCTAGTGTGCACCTCCCACCATCACGGTCCTCAGATGGGATAGCATCAGCTTGGCTCATGGGGAACATGCAGAGGAAGGAAGAGGGCCCCTCACTTCAGGAAAGGCATTGAGGTGCTGGAGCTGGTCCAGAGGAGAGCAACGAGGCTGGGGAAGGGACTAGAGGGAAAGTGCTGTGAGGAGAGGCTGAGGGAGCTGGGGGTGTTTAGCTCGGACAAGAGGAGACTCAGGGGAGACCTTATCACTCTCTACAACTACTCGAAGGGAAGTTGTAGTCAGGTGGGGGTCAGGCTCTTCTCCCGGCCAACTAGTGACAGGACGAGAGGGCACAGCCTGAAACTGTGTCAGGGGAGGTTTAGGCTGGATCTCAGGAAGCCCTTCCTCACAGAGAGGGTGCTCAGGCACTGGGATGCACAGCCCAGGGAAGTGGTGGAGTCACCGTCCCTGGAGGTGTTTAAGGAGAGGCTGGATGTGGCACTTAGTGCTGTGGTCTGGCCGATGTGGTGGTGTTGGGTCATAGACTGGACTTGATGGTCTCAGAGGTCTTTTCCAGCCTCAACAGTTCTGTGATTCTGTGATAACTGGCAGGACGTGCTGGTTTTAATGACCAGGCAAGTCTTAATTACCTGTAATTGCTGACAGCAGCTCCCTTCCTTCAGGACCAGGCAGCCAAGCAGCCTGTGTCTGCCAAGCCCATGCCTCAGTGCTGCTGTCCCACCTGAAGGGCAGCAGGCAAGATGGTCATGCCATCCAAATGGATGGTCTCACCCAAGCTTTTAGGAGGCCCAGAGTGGGGCTGCGATAAGCCATGAGATCAGTAAGCTGCTCGCTGAAAAGGAAGTTACTTGGTTTAAACAGAAGTGATTGGGTATCCATGGATACATGCCTGAAGACACTCCTTGCTTGAATTCAAATAGATGGAGAAGGGACGATGAGGGTGTTGCACAGTGGGGACAAGATCCTGAAGAAGATCACGCTTTTAAAGCATTTGAGCAGCACCGCATTAGAAAGGGAGAGGTTAGGGAGTGGAACAATTCTCTGAGTGATGTCTACTGAGACACCAGAGTACTTCTGGCATTTTTTGATGTGCTGCTGTTCCATTTCTGAAGTGTTAAGAGCTGTATATTTCATTTCAGGACTAGCTGTCCCTGCAAGTACAGCTTTCTGGATGAAAACAAGAGGCCGACTCCCCGGCGTGATGTACCATCCTACCCAAAGGTACCACGCAATTGTGTCTCTTCCCAGAATCCTACCATGTGCTCCGCAACCTGAGAAGTGCTGGTTTATAATGCATGACTCCCTAGCCACCTACCTCCTAGTTATTCTAAATCCAGGGGCTGATCCAAAATCCCTGGAAGCCAATGGAAAATGCTGTCGTTGCCTGCGGTGACTTAAAGTTGGATCCTTTAATACTTGAAAGCTCATTAGTGTTTGAAATGCTAATGAACATTTTGCATTCATCAACATTTGATGCTCTTTTGTCTAGTTATATTTGTTTATTCTCCACGCTTGCAGCAAACAATCAAAAATAACCTATAATGTTGTACTCTAATTGAAAATAGTGCTGCTGCCCGCTTTGTCCTAATGGACTATTTTTTAATTTAAAAAGTAATTTATGGGGATGCTTCACATAGGGAAACAAAGAGAAAATGTGACAGTGGATTGTCTCCAGAATGATTCATTGTCCCTGTGAAAATTAGTCACTGTATTTGCTAGAGAAAACAGTGATGCTGGAAGAAAAATGTCTACTGGGCAAGTACAAGTACAAACCCACAGTGATGAATGAGGCTGAAACCATGAAGCACATGGGATTTTTGGTCCTAGCTCCAGTAGTCTTTGACCATAGAAATTATTCAAAGATGCCAGGTTACATCTGTGCAGCTGTGCCCAGCTCGCACCTTGACAAAATACCAGCTCACCCATGTCAATATGGGCATTTACTTGCACACATCAAAGCTGGCTGAGCCAGTCTCAGGTTCATGTGGTCCCTAGTGATGCAGGTATGTGATATAGACATGCACCTGTGCATATTTGTCTTCAGGACCTTGCAGAGCAACAGATCATAAGTTCTGCTGTTTATTCTGCTCTGCCTAGCAAAAGCAACCTCTAGGTCTCTGAAGCAGGCATCATGGGACTTGCATTTCTTTTAATTAACTTTTGCACAAGACGTTTGTGTTCCTGACATGAACACATTTTTTTTTGTAAAATGTATCAGTTCTAAGAATTATTTTTTCCCTTGATAAGTATATGTGTCAGATCAGCCTTTGATTTACTGCTGTGATATTAGAATCTTGAATTAACAAGAGTTGTACTAACTGCAGAGTAAACTGGTAGTCTGTGTTGTCTCTAGACCAAAGCTCATTGGAATTCTGGTTTTAGAAGTTTGAGTTCTGTTTGAAAGATCTGAAAAATCTGTTATCAGTTGTTAAGTGCTGGATTTGTCTGATGCTACTGAGGCTATAAGCTGATGAGTCCAATGGAAGAAATTGTTATTACAACACTGTTTTCACATAACAAATCTGTACTGATAGTTCACGGATTTCTTGCAGACCATCCTATTAAACGTACATTACATAGGCAAATGCAAAAATCATTACCTTTTCAAGAAGGAGGATTAATCTTCAGTGTTATTCTTCCTTGGATAAAGTATCAACAATTTGATGGCTCAGAAAATATCGTTCACCTGCTCAGTACAGTAAACCCAAACTAGTTAGAGACAGCCACGGTAAATGAGCCAATTAAAGCTACAAGCTTCTTGTGCCCGAGAAAGACTCTAATCAATAGAGTCTGGAAAATATAATTCAGTAGAGTCCAGATCTCCACTGGTCTTTTAACCCTGCACAGTTTTTTATTTTGTGTACCAATCATAACCAGCCTATAAGCTTGATTTTGTTTTAAGCATAATGGTAAAAAATCACTTGAATCTTGTGGGCTGACAATCAGTTTGAGAATGTGGGTGTTCTTGAAAAAATACCCCAAATGAGAGCATAAATCATCTGAAAGTAAATAAATCATGCCCATGGGCTTATTTAACACTGTAAGCACAGACTCTTCACAACACCCAGCCGTAACTGGCTGCACTGAATGTCACTGGTGCTCTGAAGGCAGCAGAACCAGGACAGCCAGGCGTGGATCTGTACCCTGCACCCCTTACATCTATCCCCTGACTGGATATACTTGTGACCCCATTCATAACACCTCCACTCTCCTTCCTTTTCTCCAAAACCCTCCACCTCCCTGCTCTGTAAGGATCTCCACCGATCATGGATGTGCTGCCGTGGGCATCCTGGCATTACTGCAAGCGGCAGGTGGAGAGGGAGAGGAGAGTTGGGAAAGAAAAGGGAGAGATCAGTTGCTCTGTCCTTGAGAAATACAGCTAAACCTGATTGTGAGTGGGACCTCCGGAGTCCAAGGGCCGTGCCAGTGCAGATCTCACACCAGGGCCCGACACCCTCATTTACACCAACTGCCTTTTATTTCTGCAGTACATGCTGTCCCAGGAGACCATAGAAGCGCTTCGGAAACCAACATTTGACGTCTGGCTGTGGGAGCCCAATGAGGTAAGGATGTCATGTTAGCTGGATTAATATTGTTTCTGAGAGCCAGCAAGGCGAGAAGACCCCTTTGAAATGGCCTGCAGGGCTTTTCCCCTTTTCTGTCTCTTTATATTTTTTTAATATTTATATCATACCAGAATACAACACTTATTCCCTACAGATACCAGATAGACTATGGTGATTATCATAAAATGTTCTGTCTCTATATTTTATCTAATCTCTTCCTAGTAATGTCCCCTAACAACCAGTGCACTATTACTGTCACATGAGTTATCTCATGCCATTTTATTTGAACAAATCGATCCTTAGCAAAGTGTACGCTTAAGCGTATCATCAAAACTCTGCTCAAATCAATGAAGCTGTGTGTGAAGCCAGACAGAAGTGTGTGCATTGATTCATACCCTTTCAGACAAGGGATTTTCTGTGATGCTTTCTGACAATGTTACAAAGCTGCATGTGTGACCTATTAGTGTTTTCTTATTGCTATTAGTACTATGTGTTGTTCATCACTTGTATTATAAAAGATTCTGAAAGGCCCATGTGTAAACCTCTGCAGAAATATGAAGTTCTGTAATGGCCAACTAATAGTATAATGTCAAACTAGATTCAGCAAATATGAGCGAGTTTCACCTAGGAAAAATATATGGGAGGGTAGGACTAAACTAGGGTTTTAGTGATCTGTTTTTCCCAAGGGAAGGATTGGGTAGTTCTAGCAATATTTCCAGTAGCAATCACCTTAATTACCTTCTCAATCAGTTGTACATACAAGGGTTGTTCTGGCTCAGCACCTGTAGATCAACACGACAAGCAGAAACATCCCACCCTGAACCCACAGGAGCCATGTATTCCCTTTGGGATATTTCATCTGGCCAGCTGAATGACAGGACGCTCTGGTGACTTTAGGTCCATTTCCCACTCACACGGGCTGGCAGAGCTTCCCTTGTGTGATCCATGCCAAGCTGAGGCTGGTGCTCTGCATTTGCTGTTCCCTCTCCAGCCCCTTTCCTCGGTACCATACAACTGCTCAGGCAAAATTACTTAACCGCAACTTTTGAATGCCTGTCAGGTCTTTACAGCGAGAGAGAATTATGACCTGCCAGGTGGACCATAACACTGCTGGCCCATTGTTGTTCTGACTGTTAAGAAAGATTAAGGAGAGACAAAAACCATTATCCCTGGATTCTTGTGTGCTGAGGCATAGTATTTTAGCATAGTAACTCATTCAGAGTACTAGGAAACACTGTATGGTGGCATGAAGGAGGCTAACAAGAGGGCATGGAGATTAGACATGCCCTGCGAGGAGGAGTGCTGCTCAGAAATAAGATACTGCACATACTCCATTGAGCCAAGCACCACAGAGGTTTATCTTGCCCTCTTAGCTCTGGTTTATGTTTACAAGAGAGTATTTCAGTTCTGTCGATTGTTGTTTATCAATGAGCATTTGCCCACGTGCTCAGTGTGGGGCAGGTAGGTTATAAACCATAGTCTTCCTGAAGCAAATTAATAATGTTGTGCTCTGCAGCATCCCAGTAAATCGAGCTATGCAGCAAGTTTGCATTCTCTTTCTCAAATGCTCACTAACTTGCAAGCCTTATAAGAGCCCAATATTCAAGCTTTTGCTGTTGACCAAGAAAGTTGAAATTGAAAACTGAGATTGTCACATGTTCAGGGGCAGAGGCTTTGGGTCGCAGAGTCATTCTATCACTCACGCAAAGCTCTTTTGGAGACAGCTGGAGGTAGACAGGCATTTCTGAGGGTAATTCAGTCCTGTTAGATCACATTTGTTGTCTCAGAAAGTATTTTCTGAAACTACTGCAAAACATATATTCTACGTCAGGGACTAGGAGCAAGACAAGGTGGTCTGCAGCAAAATGCTGGCCACGTGATCTAAGCAGAGTTCAGCTCATGACATTATCCCCCAAGTCTTGCAGGAAAGTTTCTTGCTTCCAGTTTGGAGTACTCAAAACTAATCCCTTTCTTACTTCATGAACCATGGATATTCCCTGAACAGATATGAAGTTTCAGTACATGAAATAATTTTTCTGGAGAGCTTTTAAGAGCTGAAATAACAGAAACCTAACTAAAAATGTCTGCAAGGCCATATTTGCGACATTACAGTCATCACGTTTAAAACTCCTGGATCAATCTACAGTCTAAGAACCGCATCTGCTTTTGCCTTCAGAAATGGTAAGGCAGATATATAAACTCCTGAACTCCTGGAAGTCTGTTCAATTCTGACTTGTAGCAGACGTTAAGTGCCCAGACACGTCAGATTATCAATACCTTTCTTTTGCAATATTTTCAAACCCAGAAGATTAACCGGGAGTGGTAGTCCTAAACTTTCTGTGCCTGCCTTCCCACTGCAGAGCAGACATCTCAAAAGAAGTTCCTGCCTTTACATTTCAGCTACTGAGATTCACAGTTGCAGTTTACAGGAATGGATGGTGACAAACCTGCTGCAATTTTTTGGTGTTATGGTGGGTGGTATTTTCTAAAACAAGAAATCCAAGTTAAGATAGCGGATTTAGGAATTCACAAAAAGTCATAAAGAAAGAAGATATTGACACATATCTAAAATAGATATTTCTTTAAGGATGTCCTCTTTTCTGCTGTCGTTTTCTAGACAACTAGGGCTTGATTCATTTCTGTGTATCTAGGGCCTGTGCAGTCAGTGGAAAAACTCTCACTGATCTCATTGAGTGTTAGAACACATCCCAGCTGAATGAGAAAAAAGGCAATACTTTTATGTGCAAAGGCATTGCTATGATATGCATGAATCACTGAAGAGAGCTGGTGTGATTCAAAGCCCTGCACAAAACCTATGAAGTCAACAGCAATCTACCTACTTCCAGAGGCTTTCAGAACCCTTGTCTCTCCTCTTGCACTGCCTTTAATAAGGCAATCTTTGAACATCTTGCCTTCATCTTAACAAGAGAGCTCTGCAATTATTCAGTGCTTGCATGGAGAAAATTCACTCTGCAATATATCGTAAAGTGACACACACCAAGCCAATAACCTATCTGTTCCTGGTTGCAGATGCTGAGTTGTTTGGAACATATGTACCATGATCTTGGGTTGGTGAAAGATTTCAACATCAATCCTATCACATTAAAGAGATGGTTGGTAAGTATTTCAAATTCCTGATATTTGCAATTTTTCAAATTCAAAAATCAGTAATCAAAGCATTTGGTCATGGAATTGACTTTACTCACATGAGTAATCCTACTGAAAGCAGTCAGTCTATACAGATTCTTAAATTTTAAATACTTCAGCAAATGTTTGTTTTCTTGTGATAACATGGCATTTTTTAAAACTCTTTTACATTTGTTTGCTGAGCTTTCTATTTCAGAAAGCAGTTCATTTCTAGTGAATGCTCTTGGTACCTACTGTAAATGGAGACAAGACAAATGGCTTCAGAAACGGCCAAAAAAACGAAGCCAGTAAGTGCAATAATCATTAGATGAGGGTGGTGAGGCACTGGAACTGATTGCCCAGGGAGACTGTTGGTGCTCCATCCCTGGGAGTGTTTAAGGCCAGGCTGCATGGCGCCTTGAGCAACCTGATCTAGTGGGAGATGTCCCTGCCATGGTGGGAGAGTTGGAACTAGATGATCTTTGAAGTCCCTTTTAACCCAAACCATTCTATAATTCTGTGATTCTATGATTCTATGACTCTATGATTCATTCTCAGAAAACTCCATCATATTCCCAGAGGTTTGTAGAACAGTGAATATTTTACCCATTGTTTAAAAAGGATCTAGGGATACCCTCAAGAATTATTCTTAGTAAAACCCACATCTCTACCTGAAAAAAATGCTTGAAACAATAATTAAAACCATTATGATATGGAATTCATCATACAGATGTCTCATGATCCCTGTAGAGAAGAATCTCACTAATCTCTTCAAATTGCCTGAAGAGTATGAACAGAAGAGAAGGAACTGTTTTCCATGATTCGTGTAGACTCCCAGAAAGGCTTGAACAAATTCCACAAAGTGATAAGGCAGCTAGAAAACATAAAGCAAACCACTGGATTCATCATATCACAAAGTACAGCGGAAGAAAAAGCACCCGGACACCAGTATACACAGGGCAGTGACTGTCACTGGTGTGCTGATGCTGGCTGAAGTTAACAAGGTATTACCAGAGACTGATAACAAAGGTGATCAGAGACTGGAATAAGGGATAAAATGGACTGATGCCACCACATCTCCACAGAAGGCATAAGGCTTAGCTGGAATTTATGCCTAGGACTGGTTAAGTGTTTTTAGAAAAATGGTGTGACTGCATTAAAGGACATATAAAAAATGTTTGGGACCTAGGAAATCTCTCTCTGAAGAAGGCAGATGAAAAGCTCAGTATTGTTGACCTCAGAAAGCAGCTGAGCAGAAGGGGTGGGATGAAACCGAATACAATCCAGGCTAGCACAGGATAGATAAAACAGCAAAATTCGTCCTCCTGTCTCACAGCCCGAAAACATGGGAAACAAGGTGATATGTCAACATGCATCAACATGCCACCCACACAGATTACCACAGGCAGCTTCCTGTTAGCTTTTATCTCCAAGTAATTTGTTACCACCAGCATTTAAGACAGCCCTGTTCTGAACAACGGGGGAGTTTATTAATGTATTTTCTGCAAAAGGTGAGACAGAGTGAGATTTCTTGTCTTAAACACTAGCTTCACAGAAAGGAAGATGATTAAATAAAAGCCCCAGGGACTCTGCTTCAAACTATGGTACTTCCCCAGGCACGGTATGGGCATCAACTTGAACTTAAGTGGGTGAGGAAAAGCCACCTCATGCATACGCTTGCTTTCTTGCTCCCACATCTGTTGACTGCAGAAATGTTCCAGAAAGGACAGGAAAGGATGACTGATACAACCCAGTTACTCAGCCCTTCAGTGCTCTGAGTCAGGGGTCCCCTGGCATGCTCTGGGCTCCACTGTTTCGTGGACACATTATACCCGCGCAGTGTTGTACGATGCCTGGGCATGACCGCAGTGTCCATGTGGAGGCTGTGAGATACTGTCCACCACCTGGGAGCCTGGCCGTCAACCATACTGTGCCATTAGTTATTCCATTCAGAATAATGTAATATATTTCTAAAATCCTTGCTGCAGAATAATCCAAACAGTTTTTGCAATGAAGCCCCCAAATACTGAATAAGCCTCGAAAACCCACAGTTCTCTTGACCCCATCCAGAGATTTGAGGCTTCCCTGAAGCCAGGTCCCAGGATGAAGAGTTAAATCCTGATCCTGCCTGAGGACTCCTGAAGTAAATTCACTATCTGGCTGGAGAAGGGGACACGAATTCCCTCCACATCATTAATTCAGGCTCAGTAATTGAAGCATGTGCGTAAGGGCTCTCTAGGGTTCAGGCTACGGAGGATTCAGCAGAAGGGGTCCGGCAGTGCGGCTGTGACTTCTTGGCTATTTTGTGCAGGAAAGGATACCCAAGGCTGTCCAGTGCATTGGAAGAAGGACTGTGGCATGTGTTAATCCAGCTGTGCCAGCATCACTCAGCTAGCCCAGCTGGCAGTAGCGAGGACACGTGGAAAGACAAGTTTTAGCTTGCATTTGTAATCAGGGCACATAGCTAGGATCTGTAGAAAGTTAAAGCATACAGAAGTCAGTCCCGTGTGCCTATGTAACTCAAGCTCTCCCATGCTGCCTAGCGCATGAAATCCACAGAGGTATGCCAGTGCGTGTGCGTTCACAGCTTCATTTTGCCAAGCAGCACATCCCAAAGTGCCACCTCTGAGCATGTGCAAATGAAATAACAACAGCCTTTCAGCCTTGAAGATTTCAAAGCTGCAATTTACATTCAGTGAGAGAGGGGAATGGGGATGTACTTTGAGTTCTTTACACATCCCACAGTCACCGTTTAACCACTGCAAGGTTTGAAAAAAAAATTCAGGATGAGAGCAGGGAGTCCTATCCCAAGACTGAGATGCACTCGCAGCTGTGCTGGGATGAGAAAGAAATTGCGATGAGCTTTACCTGCTGGAAAATTCTTGAAAGGCAGTAACATCTCAATCTCCCACATGAAGGCAGAGAGTGTCAGAGGGCCTTCTGCTGCCACTCTGTCCTAGTAGAAAATAATACTGGCTCCATAGGACTCCTATAGACATAAAAAGGGCTTGCAGGGAGTCTAGGAAGCGTATATAATTATGTTTTTATAAAGAAAGAGCTCTCCTGTCTCTGACTGCTTCATTCCCTCTCTTTGCAGCTGTGTATTCATGACAATTACAGAAACAATCCCTTTCACAATTTCCGGCACTGCTTCTGCGTGACCCAGATGATGTACAGCATGATCTCTCTCTGCAGCCTCCAGGTAGGACGCCCACCTCCACAGTACCGCTCCGTTTCCATCACGGGGCACGTGTCCATGCACCGAGCACTGTGACACCTGTGACACTTTTCTGGCAAAACTGTCCACCAGCTTGCTGGCAAGTGATGAGCTTTTGCAGTAGCTGCACTTGGTCAGTCTCTGGGGAGAGGAGAAGCGCTGCTGCATTTCTACCTCTGGCTGCCTTCTCAGCCATCCCACCCCAGACTCCAAGCACCTGCACAGCTTTCTGAGGCTCCTAGGAAGCAACCTTCACCTCCTGGATATCCCGATTTTGTACACTGAAGATCTTTTTGTGCTCTGATAGCTCTGAAATATCTGGGAATCAAATCCAAAAGCCTACTGGACTATGGTGTGCGGATAAATTCTTTATCTGTGACACAAAATGTTCCCACAAGAGTTTTTTTTCAAAATATATGCTCGCACCTGAGTGAGCTAATGCAAATAATGCCCTTCGTGTACTGTATGCAAGATTCATGTTCGACCTGTACTTTGCCCAAAACTATAGGCATCGTTTATTTTCACTGACTCAATAATCTGTGTTGTTATATTCATTTCATTTCTGCACAAATCACTTTTATCCAGTTCAAAAAAACGCTTTCTTCTTCATAGTTAAACATCTCAGTTACTGGTCTAAGCCTATTTTCTTACCAGTAATAGTATAAAGAAAAACTTATTTCATCCTATTCAGAAGCTGTGGGAACACATCACTTAATTCTTCTCCCTCTTTTCATAATTTTGGTTAATGCAGAATACAATGGCAATTAAGCTATCTTCCAGACCTCCCTTAACTGATCAGGATGCTCAGATGACTACTAAGAGACTGTACTAACATCTCAGTGCTTTTGTATGATCTCTGCAGTAAGAGCAAGTTTCAAAAAATTGCCTCCTTTGAGCTGCTATTATTTAATGCAACAAAGGCAAACCTGAGTCATTTTTACTGGAAGGGAAGGCAGAATTCTCTTTCTTGACCGAAGCAATTTGATCTGTGGAAAAATACTTAGTTTTGCTTGGATTTGCATTTCTCTAAGATGTAAATGTGGATTTTTTTTCCACTTTTTTTCAGTTATGGGGACAGGGAAAATAGAAATGGCAATATTACATCAATGTTTTGTATTTTCTAGGAGAAATTTTCCCAAATTGACATCTTAATTCTCATGACTGCAGCAGTATGCCATGACTTGGACCATCCAGGCTATAACAATACGTAAGTCTGTCTCTTGCTTTCTCTTCCCTTAAAATTTATTGAGAAGGTAATACAAGCTGGCATATTTGGTAGATCAGGTTTTCCTCCTCATAGCTTGAGCTGGCCACAACCCTTCCCCAAGGTCCTGCTGTTCACTCACACATGGACGACGGCAGAACTTCACACAGAAAGCTCAGGTCTGGGTAGGGCTGCCAGCTGTCCTTGGCTCCGTAAGGAAAATGCTTTTTCAGACTTTTATTCCAACACTTTCCCCCACTCCAAGAAAATACAGTTAAGTGTTTTACAGCTGAGAGAGAGGTCATGAATGGTTGTAGTTCCATTGACCAAAATAGAATAATTACACTAAAATGCAAAGGGTGATTTAACTTACACATTACTTCATAATTATAAATCATGAAGTGTATGTTATTCTAAATATTACCATGTGAGGAAATTAGACCTGTTGACCCATGGACACTTCTACGTGCATGTACGTGTCTCTGAAAAAGAGAGAGAGAGTCTAATTTACTTGTAGCTGTTCATTAAATAAGGGCAGAACGCAGTTCTGATGGGAATCAGTGAGAATTTCTCAGTTTACATTAGTAGAGGTTGAACAAAGCCCAGACAGTTCCTTCTGTGTTTGTTCTACATCGTTTTAAGCTACAAAGACTTGGTAAAATTAAAAAAAACAAAACCAAAAACATTACAAGGGAATAGCGCCTGAGAAGATATTAAAGTCACACTTATCTCCTTAAAAAATTTGATTTAGTATTAACAATCAAAACCCAAACTGCAGCTAATTGCTTAAGTATTGAAAAGAATGTAAATAAAAGTAAGCAGCATGGTTTAGAGCAGCTGGTGTGTGTCTGCAGGAGTTCTCATTGTTTTACCTCACACTAGCTATCAGATAAATGCACGAACGGAGCTTGCGGTACGCTACAACGACATCTCCCCACTGGAGAACCACCACTGCGCTGTGGCTTTCCAGATCATTTCCCAGCCAGAATACAACATTTTCTCCAACGTCAACCAGGAGCAATTCAAGCAGATAAGACAGGTACGAATGCTGTTCCCATCTGTGTCGTACAAACTGTTCCTGAAGATGTAAGCATGCACAGACTTCCCTGCTGTACAATGCAATTGAATCATTCTCCCTAGAGACTCCCTAGAGAATCATTCTCCCCTCGCACTGGAAGGATTCAAAAGGGATTCTTGGAAAATTTCCACAGCTGCACTCCCTGGAATGTCTTGCTGAGAAGTAATGAGTACATCCTGACTATTAAAGCCTATGACATTTCGGGGTAGATATTTATATTACCGAAGGAGACAATTAGCTCTGACTGGGAAACAATTACGGTCACATGGCAGAAGTTTATGCTTTAAGAGAACATTGTATTAATTTTAAGAGGGGCTTCAAAATGGGAAAAGATTTACAACAGTAGAGCACTTGCACTGTTGGGAAAGGCTCTGGTGAACTGGGAGTCATCACAGTTATCTCAGAGACAATGAACAACGCCACAATTCCCATTAGAGCACTAAGGGCCAAATTCAGCCTTGGTTTCCACGTTATGCCTTCCTTATACACCAAATGAAAAAGCAGATCAGTGTAAGGGCTCACATGCTGGTCTGGTTGGAGTTACTGATTCTGCCAATGTGTGGGAAACAGGCACAGGCCCAAGAGGGATAGATCTGTATGAAAACCCGCAACTTTAATTTAACCACATTTTCCCATCATAAACCCTGCCTAGCAGGAGGACACAGAGCTCCTAACACATCTGCTGCATCTGAGTATTTCAAAGTCCTTAATCCAAAGAGGATGAGCACAGAGGACATCCATGTCTACCGATCTTCTTAGGGCCGCTAAGAGTCAGCAGCAAAATCTATAGTGCTTTCCAATGAGCAAAAAGTGGATCCTGGCAAAGAGAGTGTGGTTTCTAAAATTCTGTTGTACAGTTTGTTTTACCACAGTTTGTTTTCCTTTCTTTTCCAAGGAAGGAAAAACCTGAGTGCCCATAGAATATCACACTTGTGTTACAGAAAAATCCAACCATGATCTTCATATACCATGAAATGTTTATAATCCTGTTTTAGGTTACTTGGCAGTTTCAGATCAGAAACTTCCCCTTTCGGTGTTAAAAATGTAATGCATTTGAGGCTTTTTGCATGTAAGAAAGAGCCAACTTTGCTCTGCAGTAGTACACCTGGTAAAGAATGTCAAGTTAATACGTGAACATATTTTCATTGCTAGGGGATAATTACGCTAATCCTGGCTACAGACATGGCGAGACATGCTGAAATACTGGACTCTTTCAAGGAAAAAATGGAAAATTTTGATTACTCAAATGAAGAACACATGACCTGTGTAAGGCGGTTTTGTATATTGTTAATTTTCTGTGCATAGTGTGAAAGATTCTAGATTAACATTTTTTCATTTGAAAAGCAAGATTCAATATACGTGACTGAAAATAAATCCTTCCTACATCCTCTACCCCACCAAAAAGAATAAAATCTGGAAATGCTCTATATAAAACAGATTATCCCAGCGTTAGAATTATCCTGGCATCCCTTCAAGAAAAAAAATATTTTTACTCTCTCAGGATGAAAATTCTTATCATCCTTTACTGTGGGGCAAAAAGTATCCGCAAGAATATCTCCTCAACTTCCTAATCCATCTGTCTATGGTGCCCAGGAAAGCTTCTCCCCAGCTGCTTCTAAGTGCTCCACAAACAACTTGGTGGTCATTTGTGGCTGAATCCCTTCACGCAGCAAAGTGCATATCCCACTGTGACACGTCCCAGTGCCACAGACAGGGAAACTGAGGCAGAGAGGGGATAAGTGATTTACCAGAGTAACTGAGGGAGTTGAAAACAATCGAGATCATTTAAGACTCTCTGATTTAATCCTAAGACTGACTTTCCTGTTTGAAAACATTGCCTCCCGTTGCATTGTAAAGACACGGGTCCTGGATAATTGAAAAAAAGGCTGGCAATATGACTATAGTATTAAAATATTATCCTCTTTCAGCTGAAGATGATACTGATAAAATGCTGTGATATTTCCAATGAAGTCCGTCCGATGGAAGTAGCAGAGCCCTGGGTAGATTGCTTACTAGAGGAATATTTTATGCAGGTAAGAATGAGGGAGAGAGGCAATTGCACAAATTGTTGCTCTTCCTAAATCCCACCTCAGCTACAGGTGCTCCGCTGTCTGACAGCCCAGTCTAGCTCTAGGATGGAAAGGCTTCTTTTACAGAATTTTTTAGCAGGAAAAGCTGCTCAGAAAGTAAGTGAATGCACTTGACCATAATCTGCAGATGACAGACAACAGCAACATAGAAATCCTAGTGCTAGCAGAGTGAAGCTTGTTCTTTATACAAGTGGCTGCCTTGCAAGTTCAATTGACATATAAACAATTTTTGAGCCAAAAGGGCAAGAGCAGCAGCAAGAGAAAGTTGTGAAATAAATGATACTGAATAACACACAGGAACTGGTTTAGTTGATTTTCACTGTGTGTGAACATTTACCTAAAGACAAAGCAGACAACTTGCTGACATGTGCAAAGTCAGACTTTAAGTTCCCAAGACCATTGCTCCTCACTGGATTCCCAGCTGGACACAGTTTCTGACTGCTTAAAAATTGATCCCTGGAAGAGCAGCCCTCAACCACGTCCAGCACCCAGGCTCATGAGCTGTATGTACGTGCTGCAGCTGTGGGATTTCAAGAGACACACGGCTGCAGTGCTCTGAGGAGAAGGTGCCAGAGCTTTCTTGTGTGTTCTGGCTTTACCTTGATAGAGTGCATACTGAGGAGGGCTTCTCACTAGACACAGATAGCTCAAATGATGTGCCAGAAACACTCCTTGCACACCTCATCTGCAGCTTTTTACTTAAAATTACAGTATCTGGTTGCCTTACCGCTTTGTCCACCCAGCAAAAGGTCTATGTGCCAGAAGATCCAATAACTGGGAGGTGCTACAGGATATCTTTTTTGCACACACAGTCTGTGACCTCCTTGCACAGGAACACTGAGTTACATGATCAAGTACACAGCTAGGTAAATCCATTGCAGTCAGCGGAACTGTTCACCATTGACCCAGCTAGCCAGAACTAGTTTTAATGATTAGTAAGGAAGGATGTGTAATTTCTAGTTGAATACCTGAAAATAATCACTCTCTGGAGAACAATGAGGAAATCTCTTCCAGAGCAGCCTTTATCACCTTCCTGACCACTCAGAAATATTTTACCTCAGAAGTCCTGTGGATTTGCAAAGGGAACCAATTGGCCTCATTGTCCCATAAGCCTGGAGGCAAATGCTTTCATGCCAGTACTGAGAAGATGTAACTGAAGAGAGTTCTCTTTATTCAGATGCTTGCTCTCAACAAAGCAGGATACGTTGGCCTGAGGGAAGCATATTTCTATTCTGTGCTGTCTAGAGACACCGCTGAGATCTATATCTGAAGGCTACTGCTCTTTAGCTAGTGATCTACTTAGCGCATTACTCTCCCTTATAGGCTTCTAGCTGAGATTAATATTTGTTAACTCGGGATTTGTTCCAGAGCGACCGGGAAAAATCTGAGGGGCTTCCAGTGGCACCATTCATGGACCGCGACAAAGTGACAAAGCCAACAGCACAAATTGGCTTCCTAAAGTTTGTTCTCATCCCCATGTTCGAAACAGTAACAAAGGTAAGTCACTCAAGGCTAAGGCAGAAGTGAGGATATGCAGAGCTTCAGCACTTGCTCCAGCGGGTGTTTAGTTAGCCGGGGAAACAGGGATGTATTCTTCACATTTTGCCTTTCAGCCCATTTCTAGCATGTAAAGGTTAACAAAAGCAAAGAGAATGCCAATGTTCTTTCTCTTATTTTCTCCTAGCTATTTCCAGAAGTGGAGGAGGTGATGCTCCAGCCACTTTGGGAATCCAGGGACCGCTACGAGGAATTAAAACAGATAGATGATGCTATGAAAGAGGTAAGCTCTAAATATCTTATTGATTAAGCAAGCATCATGACTGAATAAGTCAGACATTATAATTTAGTAGCCATTTAACTCCAAAGGAGCATGAATGCTGATGGCATAATCATTATTGTGAGAAACACATTCATTACACCTGCCTGGAGAAAGGCGTGAACCACAAGCCAGAAGCATGTGCAAAAACATGCCCTTGCAGACTCCACCAGACACCACGCAAGCATGGCCATGGTAAGGGAGCTGCTTGCAAGAGAGGCACCTGGAGACACCCAGAGACAACCACCTGAGCGGAGCTCGTTAGTAAACACCTCTCCCAGGAAGGAGCTGCATTAGCTTGGGAAGGAGTAAGCCTGGGCTAGATTGCAGCAAAATATCCAGGGGTCAGGCAGTTCGAGGCACTGCACCACCAATGCATAAATTTCTTTTCTGGGAAGAAACTTTTACTGGCATGTCTATCATCAAGGATGCATCTGAAATTTTATGGGGAATTATTCTCACACGCACAGCATCCAGTAGGATGAAAGACAAAACCAATACAGCCATTTTACAGTCTGGGCTAAGTAGGGACCTCCCTTTACAGGGTGTCTCTTTCACAGAGACGGTGGCCAGGCCTTGGAAGCGGGTGCTCTGTACCCACAGCACAGCAGCCGGTGTGCCAGCCTGCCTCCCGTGGCACCCCACAGCCTGTGGCACCGGGCCTGCACCCCTTCTTTACATACCTCTTCGAGAGCTTTTGCTTTTCCCTGCCACGGCAGACAAGAAAATCAGTCCAAATGGCATTGCGGCGTAAGGGTTTTCTAACACAAGAAAATTCATCACGTAGGCAAGATACTATCAGTCACTCTGTCATGAAAATAAATTGAGAAGTGCCCTGGAGCCCTAGTTGTGCTGATATTGTTTGATATGTGGAAGATGAAAGTTCATTCACTTGATCATCCTTGGCTGGATGAGGGGAATAGAAGCTTTCTAGTACAGCACCTACCTCCCTCCAAAGGCTTTGGAGGAAAAGCTCCTCAGCAGCTCAAATACTATGGCTCGTTCATCAAAGAGCACATGCTTTGAGGGCACTAAGTCATAAAGGAGAAGAAAGTTTTTTAGGCATCCTTCACTTTGAGAGGAACATTTCTTAAATGAGGGAAGAGGAACTCAAATATGTCTGCCAGACTTTCTGAGCCCTGTTCTTCTTTCAATTTGAACTGAGATTTTGCTTCTGGTTTACAAAAGCTGTCAAAACAGGAATTTTAAACAATGTGATAGAGCTTTAATTATGGTATATTGGCACGAGAGGTCTTAGGAAAATAGGAGATGCCTGAATTCAGAGATATCCTGAAACCAGAGGAGTTACTTAATAATCTGAGAGCCTAGCAGAGCAGAGGATGAGAAAGAGTGCTGTTTACTCAGGACATACATCCAGAGGCACTAGGATGAAAAGGTGCCTATGATATACCAAGCTGCTGCCTGTTCTTTCCTGAGAAATGTTGCACATACCTTGTGCAGAGAGGAGCGTTCGACTCACAGCAGTGGCAGAAAGCGTCACTTTGTGAATCAGGGCTATTAATCCTGCTTTATTCTTCATTTCAGTCCCAGAACAAGAAAAGTGAAAGTTTGACCAACGGCAGCACTGAAAAGTGAGACGAGAAACATCTTTGAGCAGAACATAAGCCCTAAGGTTATTCTGGTTTTGAGAAACGCTGTATTTGCCAAGCAGAGGTGGTGGCTACATCAAAACTCAGCTGGGACCACGTATGCAGAGAGGTGACAAGCATGAATGCCCTGCCTGCCTGGGCGCCTTCTCTACAGCCTGCAACCCGCTCACACAGGTGCTGCTGCCGTGGGGCACCAAGAGCTCCCTGCGCTCCCCCAGTGTGCCCACTGCAGCCCCCTCCAGCAGGATTCCCCCTGCGGATATTGCACAGGTCACAGCACGGCTCAAATCTTCAGCAGGTTTGCCAAAACCAGTGACCGCACTGACTGCGGTCTGCAGAGAAAAAGCAGAGTTTGGCTAAGGAGCCTTTCCTGGAAAATGATCCACTGGCATCCAAAACCAGAAGAAACGGTTGTTGTAGTCAAAATACTACATATATGTGTACAGCAGTATGCTAATTACAGCATAGCTTAACAGATGCTTATATTCTGACAGGGGCCCTGGCATATATTTTTGTTTGTCTGGTTTGCCCTAATGACAGGTTTCTCTGTATTCTTCTCTGAATTTTGTAGTGTTCACAGTACGTGCAGAAGCCAAACATAGTGGATACAGGTTTTTTTCTTTTTTACACTAGAAGAAATCAGAAGAAACCTTAGTGAGTTGACAGGTTTGCTTTGCGGCCTGGTACAGTTACACCTCATGGTATCCTTCAGCATGAGCAAAGAAGGGAGCACAAAGCTGAAACCACTGTGCAAGCATATTTTCATCCTCGTGGATGCAAAGATCAACAACAAGAGAAACCCTCAAAGATGTACAGATTTTTTTTTTACTTTTAAACTGATCTGCTAAATAATATATTCTTCTACAGAAATGTACTTGTTTTCTTTTGTGTATGCGTTCACGCGAAAAGTGTCTCTGTTCCTAAAGACAAATTATTTCATAATGAATGCAAGGTAAGAGGATGTAAAGGAGAAGCTTTAGAAACAATTTTTGTGGTATACTTGCACCATAAGCACAATACCAAAAGTGCTTCACTTCCTTTGATGACTTTGTAAAGGTCAGGAACCAAGCTCTGCCTGGAGTTGCAGCCGTGCAAAAAGACGGCAGGCAATGCTGCGGGTGGCTCCCATGCACCGCCTCGCCAAAGGCAAGGGTGCAAGTATTCCCCCTTCTTGAGAGGTGACCTGTGGCCATGCTGCTCTCCTGGTTTTTCCCATCAGGAAGAGGTTGCCCTCCCTGAGTGTTCCAGTGGACAGGATCAGTTCCCGGCATGGCACGGCTGCTGACACCAGTGATTTGCACGCATCCCGGCTTCCTGACATCCTCCCCACCAGCGGCTGCAGGCGAGCAGCCAGCAAAGCCTCAAGGCACTCTACTCCGGTCCTCCTTGACCCCATTCCCAAGGCTGCCCCATCAGCTTTGCTGGGTGTGTTAGCAATAAGGGTAACACTAGTGCTATGCCTCTGCAAAGTCCAAAGTCACATGCATTGTCTTAGCTTGTTTTTCAAAGAGATGAGCAAGTGGGGGCCAGTCTTTCCCCCATATGACCCAGGAAACACCTCTCAGCCTCTCTGGCAAGGGCCTAGCACCAAGCTCACCTCTGAACAACAAAATCCACCTCCCGCTCTGGAAACTCAGATGTATTGTCCTGTTGTTTCTGCACATTAATTCTGAGTGTTATTTCTTGTTTCTCCCTCACTGCTCTTTCCCATGTTTGGTCTCTTCCTTTTTCACAAAACTGTTTTACTTCAGCTAATTTCTGGACTCCCGGGAAGATCAATATTACCTTGAAACGCCCACCGCTCTAACCAGAGACCCAGGGCAGACTCACAGCTGGTCCTCTCTGCTGGTGCCTCTTTCTGCCCAGGCTGCCTTCTGCTTTAAATGGTTTTGTATGTGTGTGGTTTTGGGCTTTTTGCTGCAAACTGGAGAACAGTCTGACCCCTGGATTTGAACAGTCCTGGGGGACGCCAAGGGAGATGGTAAGATGCAAGCACAAGGGTCAGTTCCAGGCTACACAGACGTCTTTCATGAATGGATGAACTAAACCCTAGTTTTGATTAACCTCGAACATTAGGTACTCAAAAGTTGAATCTGAATTATGTGATTTGGGCCTTTTTCTGTACTAAATCATATAATCCAAAGTACATTGTGACCCAGATTGTTTTGCTGTGGAATTCTTCATTTCTTTTTCACAAGTAAATCAAATTTACCATCTCCATTCAAGCATATTTCCATCACAAATCAGCTCCCAAAGCAGATGTGATGTGCATGGACCATAAACAATTGCTTAGGAAATGCTAAGTCCTACACTGAGCTAGTTAGACTAGATGAGAAAACCTGCTGCAGGAACTTGACTGCACCTTCCTCCCACTGAAACTGTTCAAGGATTTTTTCTAACCATAAGCCCTAATCAAACAAGTATTTATATATGTGCTTAACTCCCTCGAGCCTAGTTGTGAACCTTGGCGCATGGTAGCTAATTGCATAGTGCAGGCTCCTTAGTTTTCTGTAATGAAAGAGCACACGAGTTTGAAAATTGACAGCCCTTGGTGCTTGTTTTGGCTCCATCACTGTTAAGGGCAACTTGAAAACTATTTGCTAGAGAGGAATGATCAGAAGACATTGGTGAAAGCCTGCTGGCTTTATTGGAGCTGCATCAGAAACACGGAGAAGGGAATGCAGTCTCTCTTCAGTGCTGCACTACTGACTGTCATGATGCTGTAACATGCTGTGCAGCTTATTGAAAGAACAGGCAACTTCCAGGCTGCTATTCATAGACGGCTGTAAAAAAAAAACACGTACAACCACAGCCAGCTATTGGTATAAATAGGAATACCACAGCATTTTTAAATCTCATTTGCCTTTGTAATACTACATTTCTAAAAGATGATCCTCCCAACATATGTTTAACCAAGGGGAATGAAAGGCATTCTCTCATAATTCTAGTTTTGTATACTTCTCCCATAATATTTGACATTGTGATTCATATGCAAATTAATGGGTTTGAGAGTCTTGGTAATCAGCCCATTAAAATGTCACACATTTTCAGAGTAACATTTTAAAACTGCACTTAGCATGAAAATTAAGTTTTTTGAGGCAATCAGACAGATGTCTCAAGTGTGATTTAATCTTTTCTCTCCCTAATCCGATGAATAAGAGTGAATATTACATCTCAGAGCTGTTGTTTCAGCTCATGATAGGTGCCTTACAAAGAACTTTCCATATTTGTTGCATGCATCTTTTCAGCATCATGACAGTGCCACGTGCATGCCAGCCTTACATAGCTACTCCTATGCTTGTGATCAAAGTTTGTAACTATCCCACGCTGTTTAGCTTGGAAAACTAATGATGAGCCCTGGGATTTTACTTCCTTTTTTTTAAAAAAAAAAAAGATGAGATCTCACATCCCCACACTTACTTCGTTTTTCAGTATGGCTTTCATAGTCGGATCAAACTAAGGCTATAGTGTAACTGCATGTCTTGGGAAAGAAACAGCTTTTTAAAAATGTGAATACCCCCACAGCAGCCACTTTGCAATGAAAATTTAGTGTGTGTTAAATAGAGAGGTTATGTAATGCCAAAGAAGTATCTGTACAAGGAAACTGTTAATCTAAATGCTGCCTCTGAGCAGCAATAATAACAGCATCTGTTCCATATGGGAACGAAACAGAATGCTGCTTTGGAGTATGAGCCCATCAGAAGTACTGTCAAGCACTATTCAGTTTTCCTGTTTAAACAGTGGGCTTTTACTGCAAACAGTCCCTTCTCTCTGGAAACACCTGAAGAACAAGTCTTACCTTTGTGCCTGGTTTATGGTATTAAGAGCATACACACTTCTTTTCACTCTTCTGGCCTATTGTTCTGTTTCATTGTGAAGGTTTCTGTGAGACAGCAGACACGGTGGGGCAAATCCCCTACCCTACTATATGCAAACTCTACCCACATTTACCTCTTTCCCACACTATCATCTCCTTGATTTCCCTGTGGCGAGACAGGATATAGAACACAGCAACACATCTGTTAGTGACAAGGAGCACTCCAGCCCCAGCCTGCAGGGAGGATGTATGCCAAAGCCTGATGTAGGGCCAGCCAGCTGCTGCTCTGACTCCCAATGTAAAAAAAAATAAATCACTTTCCAAGAGGTTGCTCTGGAATCAGGCACATCCCAGTTCCTGGCTGTGGTACAGAGAATACCAGGCAGGTCCTGCCCTTCTGAGGACTCTTTTTCATGCACGACCCTCTGCCATGCAGCACCCTTGCAAGTGAAGCTGTTCAGCACTGGCAAAGTGAAAGAAACACTTTCTAAAGTGTGTTTAAAACAGCTTGGATGCTGCTTTTCTAGGCAACATGGCAGTGCAGCAGGTGATATCTCCTTTCTCTCAGCTCTCCAGAGGAGTGCCTAGGCAGGGGTAAAGTTTGTACTCTGAAAAACTGGCACACTGATGTCCTGGTCTGTGTGTGGGTGCTATGATAGCACAAGAAAACAGTAAGTCTTAAAAATAAACCTAGATCTGTCACTGGCTTCAAACATTCCCTAGAGTAAGTCAGCAAGCTAGGGCTTCCCTCTCCTTTTAAAAAACACCTGGTGGTGTTCAGATGTAATATGCTCCTCACTGCAAGGATCAGGTAATCGTTTTCAGAAAATATGGCTTCATAGAAATTTCTGGCCAAAAAGCTTATTAGCTGTCCCCATAAATGAAGAAGCTGTAACCAAATAGTCAAACACCTGTTTCTTCACGGTCACATTGTAGTAGATTTGGCTCTTTGCTAGTGAGAAGTCACACTCTCATACATACAAAAAAAAGCTTTTTGTCTATTTTGACATGCAATCAGGAATTACAGGTGTACTAAGGCACATGCACACACAAAAAAGTATTTCTAGACTTTTTTCCGCTCTTGGCTCTGTTGCAAGACAAACTTAGAACCAGGAGGGTTTGGAAAGTGTAAATCAGTCTCGTCACAGCCAATGTTTGCTATAATATCT